AATGTCAAAAGTGGCCCGGGCGAGCCCACAGAGGCCAGGCAGAAGATGGAAGAAGTCTCGAAATGGCTGAAGAAAGAGTCCTGTTAAGCAGTAAGCTAAAGACGAAGTCCTCATTTTCTTCAACTTACAAATAGGCTCAATCAAAAAACCGGGTCTCGGCGCTTCGATTGGAGTTTTCGTCCATGGTAGGCCCTATTAGGCCAGAGGTGATTCCTCTTCGAAGCATTTTAATCTACAGAATAAATAATTAAACATGTTTGCGAATATTATAAGCAAGCCAAAATATGGCCTCACACGTTCGTCCACACTGTAGACATGTATCCACGGTTGGAGAGGCCATCGACTACTGTGGGCATCTGAGTAGGTTGCGTTGACGACGGACATATTCTACGAAAAAGTGGTTATCTATTCACCTCCTGAGATGACGGAGCTGTGTAGAAAAACTGGGCTTGGAAGCATCCTTTAATGGATTGCTGTTTGGATACCTTCCATGCTTGTTGAGCTTACTTCCATTTCGAGTGGAAGTGTGCGGTGAAGAGATTCAAAGGTCGGTTCCACCAGAAGACGACAGCGCATTCCTCTTGACCAGCTGTTGATTGGCTGCCGCTGTTTCCGAGGCAATCTGCTTCGATTTCGGTGAAGAGGTGCTAAGCTTTCGTCCGTCACATCAGAGCGAGATAACCTCGTCACAACCAAATTCAAACTAACGAGTCAAGAAAACTCACTCGCAAATCCCTAAAATGTGATATATATACTCTACATGTGGCCTCTTTGATCAAGTATAAAGTGATTTGGTTAGTTACGGTCACATGTTAACTTCGATGCATGTGAGTGTGAGTGAGAGTTTTCTTGTCTCGTTAGCTTGAATTGTGTCGTGACGATGATACCTTCGATGCTCTGATCATGTTCGTCATGTGACGGACGACAGCTTAACACCTCTTCACCGGAATCGAGTGAGATTGCCTCGGAAACAGCGTCAGCATGAATGTTGCAGTAAGGCCAATCGACAGCTGGTCAAGAGGAATCGGCCGTCGTCTTCTGGTGGAACCGACCGTCGAATCTCTTCACCGCACGCTTTCACTCGAAATGGAAATGAAACAAGAGATTCCTCACAATCACACTTTTTTTAGCATACCTTCCATGTCGCTTGAAGAGGCGAGTTTTAGGGATTGGTAACTTGACCTCACCGGAAGCTGAAGACAATAAGTACATTTCTTGTCTTCGTGTTTTGGTGAATTATCATAAAAAAAGCGTTATGCTCGGACGATGTCCGTCACGTGACGGACGTAAGCTCAGCAAGGATGCGTCAGAGTCGCGGGACGACGAGCTGAAGAATCACAGCCTCAAGGCGACCCTTCTTTGACCAACTTACGAATCCCCTGACAACAATCCGCTAAGAAATTATCCGAAAACCAGTATTTATACAAATATTTTAAAAGCTAGCTTTTAGTATGCCTCGGCTATGGCAGTCTGAAAATGTACAAATCTACCGAGCAAATGTTCATGGAAGGAGAATTCTTTGTCT